ATATATGTATATGTATGAATAATATTTTATTTTTATTAATATATTTGTATATAATTATACAATTAGATACATGGGTATAATTTTAAATAATTTCTAGTTTTTTTTTTGATTTTAAATAATAGGTTCTTGGTTTTTGTTGGTTTTGTTTTAAAGAATATTTTTTTTTAGTTTAATAATATTGTATAATAATTTATAATTATGTAAGTATATTGAAATTGCCATCGCATTTTAATAAGGTTTATTGCTGTTTTGTTTTTGTTTTTAAATTTTTAAATATTTTTTTAATATTATTTTTGTTCTCTTCATTTTTAATATTATTATTTTTTTTTTTTTGTTTTTGGAATGAAAACTGGATGTTTGAATTTTTTGAACTTTTCATAATATAATTATTAATAATTATTATTTTTTTTTTTTTTATTACTATTAAAAATTTTTTTTTGATTTTATTTTTAAATAAAATTTCGAGATTCGTTTTTGAATTTTTTTTGGTTTTTCTTATTTTATTTTAAAATTTTTAAATTTTTTAGCATTTTATTATATTTTTTGTTTGTGTGTGTGTGTTTATGTTTTATTAAAATTTCTTTTTTTTTTTCTGTTAAATTTTATTTTTATTATAAATTATTTTTTGTAAAGGGAAAAAGATTTTTTAATTATTTTTATTTTTTATATTATTTTTGTTTTGTTTTGTTTTTTTTTTTATAATTTTCATTAATTTTATATGCTTTACGGGTTTTTATTTTTTATACTAATAAATTAGCTGCTAACCACTCATCATCTGGTAACTGAAATAAAATTTAATTTTTCATGTTTATTTTCTTGTTTATTTTGTAAATGTTTTAATTAATAATTTAAGGATATTATTTTTATTTATTTTTTTTGTTTTTGTTTTAATTTTTGTTAATTATTCATTTATATAATATGCTGTAAAAAGTATGAAAGGATAATTTAAATATCTTATGCAAAAATGTTTTATTTTTATTTTTTTTTTTGTTTTATAATTTTTTCTTTCTCGATATTATGGTGAAAATGTTGGAATATTTTATGCTAAATAGGTTAATTTTATACTATGTTGTTGTAATTATAATAAATATGATTTTGTTGAAAAAAAAATATATATATATTTGATTGCAAATACGGGATGTTACGGTATTAGCGCATGAATTTAAACTAATAAATATGCTTAGAATTATTGGAGAATATCTTTTAAAATAATCAATGAAATCGATTATAATTCTGAATTCATGCATGGTATCGACTGTAAATCACGGAATAATAAAAATTTTTGAGAATTTTAGAAAAATCTTATCGTAGCACAATACTGGCAAAATATCTCTGGGAACGGATATATTCTATATATGAAATTGTTATGAATTTTAAACTTAATATTTATAGAACTGAACTGATTTAAAAAAAGGAGCACTTTATTAATCTTAAAGGAGATAAATATAATTAAATAGAGGTAACAAAATTCCTGTGCAATCTTAAAATTTAAATGTAAAAATTTTAATATAAAAAAAACACTTTCTCATATTATTTATATCAAAATAACAATTAATTTTTCTGCACACTGCACATTAGTGAAAAATTATTTAGATTAAATCAAGGTTTCTACTGTTTGTATTCCCTCTTATCAAACCCCTTGGTTGATTTTTATTTTACATCTACTTAATAATTCTTAAAATTGGAAGTAAAAAATTTTTACTGCTCATTGAGATAACTATCACTTGTCTTATCTAACTATAAAATAATTGTTGTCTAAAAGAAATTGGGCATAATATCCATTTCTAGTTCAAAAACTTCCGTCGCAAGAAAATATTCTTAGAATAAAAGATCAAAAAGTTACGTAATCACTTTTATATATAAACATAACAGTAAAATATTCATAGCGCAATGCAAATAGATAGTAAATTACAATTTTTACTTTCAAAATATTTTACATTTAATTGGCATTCTGATGCATAGCTCAAACTCTACACATAATTAATGGAAAATGTATAAAAACGCTTAAAAATTTTTTACTTTCTCTTTTCTTTGAACAAATTTCATGTTTTCTTAAATTCCTGCTAAGACAACCCATTGAAATTTCATTAATTTCAAAAAAAATTTTGCATATTTCAAACCACTGCAAACTCTAGCAGGGTGTCTATGAAATTTTCAATAATTTTTGAATTTCATTTTCTAGTCAAAAATCACTATAATAGTTATAATAGTTAAATTTTCAAAATAAAAATATTTTATAAAAAAATTTAATAATTTCATTATTTGTAATTAAATTAACATGTATAAGTTTATGTATATATTTATATATATATGTATGTTTTCATTTTGTGCAATCCTGTTTGTATTATAATACAATATTTTATATTGTAATTTTTTTTTATATACATTTGAATATATAAATGAAATTTTATTGAAATAAAAGAATTAAAAAGTGAAGGTGCATTATAAATTTTATATTGAAAAAAAAAAAAAAAACAAAAACATTTTAGATTTAAATTTAAAATTGTTAAGAGAATAAATTAAAATAAAATTAAATTTTATTAAAAATTATTTTGAAAAGATTTTTATATATAATATGAATGTGTAAATTTGATATAGAATTTGTTGCTGTGGAAAAGAGATATGTGAAGATATGAGAAAGTTATTATATAAATTTTCAGGACATAAAATAAATAAGTTTGCCAAAAATTAAACAACAGAAAAAAAATTAATAATAAGAAAAGAAGAAGCTTGAAATTCGATTTTTTTTTTTTGTAAAATAGCGTTACCATGAATGTGAATTTGTTTTTCTTCATATTTTCTGAACATTTCTTTTTTTTTGTTATAGGACAAAATAAACAATAACAATGAATCCTTATTATAACAATAAAATATTATTTAAAATAATAATTGAGAATTTGAATATATTGAATAATAAATGAGAATAAATAGAATAAAAGTAAGAAAAAATAAAATAAAATAAAATGAAATCAATAGAAAGAATACATAAAATAATTTAAATTAGTAAAATAAAAATTTAAAAATAATTTAAACTCTATTAAAAATATATTTCGAATTTTTCTATTTTAACAAATTGTATATAACTTTTAAATTATTTTCTATAAAAGGCTTAAGTATATTAACATGATTTCCTTCAAAAAAAAAAAAACGAAATTCGGCATTAAGTATACGGTTACCGTCAACTTAATAAATTACTAATTCTCGCGATTTTATTTGAGACAAAGAATGTAATAACAATATTAAAATTACAATGATTGAGAAATTTACTAAATATCATTTTCAATTTTTAAATATTTTCTAACATACTTCATGGTATTTAAACAAATATCACATTAAAAGAATATTTTATACACCCGTCTATATAAACTAATTATTTTTAAATATACAATATGTTTATTAAGAATTGAAAAATCAAAATTTATAAAGTGTTCTATTATTATTATTAATTTTAACTGAAAATATGTACCTATGCCCACAGATCTTAATTAAAATTATAGTTAACTGTTATATTATTATCAATGCTATAATATACTTCTATTTGGTTTCTTTTAATATTAAATACAGAGATTATTAGTATATAAAGAAAAATAAAATCTAATTAAATTTACAGTACGAAAAAAAAATGTTTTTTTCTAATTTATAAAGAAATATAAAAATTTTAAATATAACAATTAAATACAACAGTTTTATATTATTGAGTAGTTATATGTGAATATTTAATCTTAATCATAAATATTAATAAAATTAAAATCAATAATAATTCTTCAATTTTCTATACATATTCAGTAAATTCATTGCAAAATGAAAAAATACCCAACATGTGATTGCATATTTTTAGGGGTAATATTTTAATTTTTTTTTTTATTTATTTTATATTTTGTATTAGTTTTGATAATTAGATTTTCATTAGATTTCCTAAAATGACAATCGAATTTCAATACTTGAATTTTTCGTAAAAGGCGTAATCACAATCGATAATTTAATTAAAGTCAAATTGTGTTGTTTTTCAAATAAAATTGATAAAGGAATTTAGGTTGATATAAGCATAAAGAATAAATATTCAATTAATTGTTGCGTATACATACAAATTTATGTATATACCTATAAATTTGATTCTCTAACACTAACAATATTTCTGTAATTTGTAACATGAGGGCAACTCATTAAGGAACATAAATAATATTTTAATATCAAATGTTACAAGTTATTTATACCATATTAATAACAAGGATTTAATATTAAATTATATTAATAAATCATTTGGTTTGGAAAATGAAAAAAATTTTTTTTAATAATTTTTAAAATTCATTAACTAAATAATTGATTAGAAATGCATATAAAGGACATACCGTTAAAGCGGTTTTTAAAATTGAGTGGCAAAAAATTTATTAGAAAATATTAAGCATCGCATATATTTATTATGTACGAGTATAAACATTCTTATAAATTATTTTATGAAAAACAAATTTCATTTTTCATATTATGCAGTTTAAATAAATATAAAATATAAAATTATTTATTCAGTTATTCTTACAGTTTTCATAAGTAAAATTTTCTGTTTTCATTTATTTTGTTTTTATTTTTATTATTATTAATATTATTTTGGTCCTAAGATATGTTAGTAATTTTTTTAAAAAAAAAAATAAAATTTTATGAAATTTTCACCATTGCTTTTATAAAATTTTAAAAGGAGAATAACAATCTAAAAAATAATAATATTCACGTTAAATTAAAATATTTGGAGACTAAACCTGATTGATTGTTAAGAAAGGAAAATAATTCGTTTAGTCTCAACATTTTCTCATACTTTTGAAATATTTATTGGATATTTGAAAATGTACACAAAATTACGAATTGTTAGGAACACGTAAACAAATTAAATATCCCAAAAACACAATAAAAAATTAATTTAGCATAATATTATCCTTAGTTTAAGACTAAGGCAATGCTCATATTAAGTAGTAAAGGATAATGAATTTTCGATCAATATTACTTTTACTTTAAATTTGGAAATTTTCTTTTCAAATAGCCCGAATATAATTAATATTATTACATATATTTCTGTAATACACGTATACATTTATATATTTTTTTTTGTTTTTTGCAAAATTTTTTAATTGTTCACGTTAATCTTTATACTCTCGGTTAAACATAATTGCTTTTATATATTTTTTTTGTTTTTTAGAAAATAATGCTTATTATGTTTTATGTATAATATGTCTGTAATGGTTCTCTAAGTATATTAATAATTTTTTTAATATCGTTGTTTTACGATATAATGTATATTATGTTTATTCAATTAAAATTAAATAATATTGCATATTATAATTTTTAATTTGCTTTTTTTTTTTAATTTTTTTGTATTTTTTTTTTCTTTATTTTGTTTTATATAATAATTTTGGGTAACTGCAAACAATTATTATTAATAGCGTATTTTGATTTTATGTGTTTTATATTTTAGTATAGTTTTTAGCTTTGTTTTTGATTTGATTTTTTTTCGTTAAAAATAATATAAGATTTTAATTTTTAAGTTCAATATTTTTTTTATTAATTTTTCTTATTATTATTATTATTTTTTTGGTTTTTTATTGAGTTTTTGTATTATTAATCAATTAATTTATATTTTTCCCGCTAAATAACGCTAATTTTCATTTTTTCTACAGGTAGATATAATTTTTGTATGTATTTATATGAATATAATATACATATATAAATATACATACATAATATGTTTAAATATTATATTATATATATATATATGTATATATTATGTAAACTAAGCTATCAATGCGTGTATGTATGTGTTGGATTTTCTTTTAATATTTTGTTAAGTTTATTTTTTATAATAATAAATATGTTTTTGGTTTTTGTTTTGTATGTTTTGCTTTTAATTTTTGTTTTTTTTCATAATATAATTTTTCTTATTAATTTTCATAATACTACTACAATTACATTCATTTTATTTTTATAAATTTTTATTTTTTTTTTTTCAATTTCATCTTATTTATAGTTCTTCGTATATAAATAATATATTTAGGTATCAATAATATTTTTTTTTGTTTTGTCTCTTTTATTCTACTGTAACTTTTTTTTTTTGTTTGTGTTTGAAAATAATTCTTGTTTTTATTTTTTTTTTTTCATACAAATTAATTTTACATTATTACCCATCTAATATTATAACTGTTAAAATTATATATATATATATTATATATTTTTTTTTCTTTACTGTGCCTGCAAAAGTAAAGGATAAACCTTAAAAATAATATGAGCGTTAGTAAAGAGAAGACAAATAGATTCCCAAAATAAAAACATAACATAACAGAAATTTAAATACAGAAAAAAAAAACCAAAAGAAACAACAACAAACATAATAACAATAATAACAACAAATTAATTGAAAAAAAAAAAATTACAATATACTGTTAAAACATAAATAAAACATTGTTAAATTATACAATAACAACAACTTATTTTATATTGATAATGTATGTATGTAGGTATATGTAGATCTATAATAATTAGTTGCAACCAAAATTAAAGAAAAAGCTTATTATGGAAATATATTGCAAAATAAGCATAAGTACAAAATTAAAAGAAAATTTAATAATGAAGGGGGCGGGGGGAGGGTGGGGGCAGATATAGCCGTTCACTTGGCGAGAAACAATACGTATTTGATAACAGGAAGAGTTTGTTATTATGATATACAAAATTTTTTTTTCAACTAATTTGGAAATTTCTGTTGAATCAAATATAATTTATGGGACAGAATATATTTCAAACAGAACCTCATAATTTTCTTAAATTTAATCAATTGATCGATCAAAACCCATAATTTTTAAAATATTAAATGTATAGCTTTAAGACTCAATGATAAATTTTATTGATTCTCTTATTAACTTAAAATAAATTTTGCATACATTTAGGGGACAAGTAAAATTTTCCAAAAAAAAAAAAAAATTTACTATACTTAGCTTAGTATTTATTATGATTGAATTGTAGTGCTCATTAATTTAGTTGAGGCATAAGGATGCTTACAGGTAAAAGGACAATTACAGTGATATTTTTACACCGAAAAGAGAGCATTTTCTAAATTACATAATATAGGATTTTAATAATTTTCAATTTGCAATTAAAAAATTTTAATAATTTTTTTTCATCATTCGAATTGAAATTTTAATTCAATATATAAGGTATATTTGGAAAATACATTCAAATTTCTGCATACATGAATCTATAGAAACACATCCTTAATTTTAAACTTTTAATAATTTATGTGGACTATATAATTTGAAGACGATTTTTCCCTTTAACATATTTCAATTAAGACACTACTAATGTACTGTCATTAAAAATATTTCTGCACCATCAAATAATAATGCTTCATTTATTTCAGAATTAATTTTCTCATTTCCGTTTCTATATACATTTATATACTGTATAAAATTTTCTCACACAATCATTTCAATTACATTTTAAAATAATATCAAAAAAAAAATTGAAAAACAAAAAATCAAAAATTACATATTTATTATGTACATGAATAAAATATTATTGTTTAAATTAGATATTCCTTATTTACATTATTTTTAACCTACATAAAATTTACATTATAAAATTTCTGTTTTTAAAACTCTTCCTCCTATATACGATATATTGTATGTATATATGTATGTTTTGAAAACTTTAAAACCAATTTTCAGAATGTTATGTGAACTAAATAAAATTTAAAATTTAAATTTTTCATAATTTTACAATGTTACTTTAAAAACTAAAGAAAATAAAAGAAAAATACAATACAAAAAATAAACGTAATATATTTAACAATAATGCATGTTATATTATGTATGTATGTGCATTTTTATATATATAAATATTATTATGTTGTAAAATTTATATATTATATACAATATACATATATGAGAACTGTGCAAATTATTAAAATATATAAGTAATGGTAATATAAATGCAAAAAAATTCATTTCTTTTTTTTTTTTATAAACTTCTTTATTTTTGCAAATAGTTATGATTATCTTTCATTTTTATCGAATTAAATAATGTATTTTAACTTTTTCACATTTATATTTGTTTATTATATACAGATGAATAAATTTGAAAATTCAAAAAAAAAAAAATTTGCATTTTCTAAATAAAATAAAGTACTAAAATATACAAATGTGCTATGAAAATTAAATTTTATAAAAATAAATACAATATAGAATAAAAAAAAAATAAAGAAAAAATAAATAAAAATGAATTATAAATAAAAATATATATAATATACATATATGTATATAATATTTATATATGTGTATAAAAGTAATGATAACAAGTGATTGCACGTGTATATGCGAGTACAGTGAAACTTTGATAATTCTGCCTACGTTTTGTAATTTATCATTTTTAATTTAAATCTATGGAAATTTTTGAAATTATTCGAAAAATAGTTTAGAATTTAAATGCACTTATTGTATAATATTTCGAATATATTATTCAATCAGGACACAATCATAATACTATAGAAATTATGCAACCCGCTTAAATAACTTTTGAGGTGCAATTTATTTAAAAAAAAGTTTTGAAATTTTCATTAGAAGTCCATTGAAATATTTTAAATATTCTAATAATAAGGTAAATTATATTAAAATAAACTAATATAGAAAATTTTGAAGAGTTGAACAAGTGACACATTAGACCTGAAGAATTTGTTTTTACAAAATATCAAAAATGAAAATCCATTTAAAATTTTTATACCATAAAAATTATGACAATTTCATACCTATAATATTCAGTAATACAAGAATTTTACATGTGTACAATGAAGAGTAAAAGTGTAATAATGAAATGTAATTCTCTCAAAATAAAAATGACATTGCCCAGTAACATTCTGGATTTGGCCAGAAAAATGTTTGTTTACCGAAAATCGTGCTGATGTTATTGTATAGGTCTTCATTTTTTGTTTTTCAAATTATCTGAGAACCATGAAATTCTTGAAATTTTAGTATGACAAAATGTGCTTTTATTTTTTTTGTAAAAAAGATCAAATTTTTGAAAATTATTGTACTGTACTCTGTGGTTCATTTTTTTTATATTTCATTTAGCAATAATAATTAATTCCATAATATAACAAAAATTTTAAAATAATACTGAAATTCAGTTAGAAATAATTACGTTTGTAAATTCTTGCCATATTTTCCTTTTTTTGTATTTTTATTTTATTTTGAAAAATTAAAATAAATGTAAGTAATTTATTATTACTATTACAATATTATTTAAGATAAAAAATAACATGTACAATGTTTGTTGTTTTTTTTTTTTTTTTGTAAATTATAAACATTAAAATAATAATAAAAACAGAAGTTTTATAATAACAAGAAGCATAAATATAAAAGTTATATAAAATGAAATTATTGTATTTTTTTAAGTTTATCTAATTTAAATATACATATACTATATAAAATTGTAAAAAAAGAAAAGTAAAAATATTTATCATAATTAAAATAAATATGTAAATTTAGTATTAGAATATATAAAACATGCTTATTACAAAAATATTCAATGTTAAACATTATTAATATAAAAATATTACAAAAAAAAAAAAATCTAATTAAAACTTTTAATTTATATAAGTACGTACCTGAGGGCTAACTTGAAATTGTTGAATTGGATATGCAACTACACCAGCTGCTTGTGGTATACCAGCGCTAGTTACACCCGTTGCTGCCAATTGTTGAGCTGGTGATATTTGAGCTTGAGTTGCAACACCTTGCCAAGTTGTGGGTATTTGTACACCCATTCTGTTATCAAAATGAAAAAGAAATAGATGTTATTTAAATAACGGAATAAAACAGAATAAATTTTAAGAAAATGAAATTATTATACATTCTACAAATTTTGTTATTAGAATAATACAAAAATATACGGCTAATTAAATTGCTCAACAAAATATCGTATTGGAGAAACGAAAAAAACGTAACATAGTGTAACTCACGCCTTTCGTATTAATGTTAAGAAAACTGTACTATTATATTAACAAAGAAATATAAAACTGTACTAATAATACAAAAAATGACAATTTATGCATGTTAAAATTGCAAGTACGAATGATAAAAATATGTTAAAGTCCTACGAAAACGGAATATAAATTTGAAGGAAATCATATTTTGCGTTTTGTACTAAAAATATCACTCTTTTTTTTTGTTGAAACAAGATGTATTACAAAAATCTAATTAAATAACAAGTTTAGATGAAATTTAGAGGGATTTTGTTTAATTGATATGAGTAGGAAATAATGAATAGTCATTTAAAACACCTTCTAAGGAACCCAACGTGTAATAATTAAAATTATTTCGCATTTAGCAATAAAAACCGGTTTATTAGAACATAGACTATCTAGAGGATATGATATAAATATATTTATATCTTACCCCATATATCCTTGTTGATATCCAGCATATTGCCCGAATGGATATCCTTGAATACCTTGTAAAAATTGATTTTGTACAGTGGCTGCTGTTGGTGTTGCAGCAGCAGCAGCTGCTGCAGCTGCGGCTGCTGCTGCCGCTGATGTTGGATATGCAGCTGGTGCTGGTGAATACCAACAACCAGTAGCCGCTAATTGTTGACCATATGCTGCTGCTGCAGCTGCAGCTCCAAATGGAAATCCAGTTGGATTTAATGCTTGACTTGCAATTGATTGTGCATTATTTGGATCACCACTTTCTTTACCCCATGAACACTTTACCGGCTGACCATTTATTTCTGTGTTATGAATGCCAACAATTGCATGAGTTGCGGCTTCTTTTGTAGAAAATCTATTTATTATAAAGAAAAAAGATAAAAAATTTATAAATAATGTTTAGGTAATAATAAAAATAAATGTGTTCTATCATAAATAAATTTTTCCTAAATTAGAAGAAAAGCCTTTTTTGCGAATATTTTTTTTATAGTACAGCATACAACAAAATCTAATTACTTCAAATTGTTTTCAAATTGTCTTGTTAAAGAGTCAGACATGCTTGAAAACCTTGCAATTTTAATAGTATATCCTCTGCCGCCCATCCCGCCCCAAAAATGTTTTTAATGGAAAATTATACTGGTTACGTTAATTATGTAACAACAACTTTTATTCAAACTAAAAGTTCCAAATCAAAGAATACAATTTTGTTAAAAAGCACAGGAAAATGCAGTTAGAGAACTGAACGGAAAAGGTTTTCACTTTCATCTTTTTTTGAAAATGTAAAAATATATAAAGTTCTTTCAAAAGTTTCTGCCTATGATCAATAAAAATTGAAAATCAAAAGCTTGATTTTATGATGTCAAGTGGCTTTTTTATTACAGAAAAAAAAAATCCATTTTGGTTGATTTGTTTATCAGAATTTTTTGTTGCTCTTTTTACAATAATCGATTCAGTCAATGGAATTAACCTACATAATTTCTATATTATAGAAATAAAACAAAAATTTTTAAAAATTTCAATACTTCAAACTTTTATACTTTAATATTTTTAAAAAGATGTTGTTATAAAATTTGTTTGTTAATTTTACTGCATGTGTGTGTTCCTATCCAAAATTTTTATTACACTGTGTTCGTATTAGTGTCCGTCCGTTAGCAACATATGAAACTTTCAACAAAAAAAAAGGTAAAATTTTACTTAATTTCTTTAAAAGAGAAATTTTTTTGCAACAGCTGAAATTCCAAATATTATTTTCTTTCTACACAGTTTCCCAACAACAATGACTTTCACATTCTTAGCAATATCATTTTCTGGTAAATTTACTAACATCCCACTATAAGTTATTTCATTAGTAAAATCTCTATTTCTTTTTCTTTTAACGTCATCCTTTACATAATGTGGCGATTCGACTTTATATCGAATATAACATTTACCAATGTAACACGCCGATTACTAACTTTTTAAATATTTCTTGTGATAACGCACTTCCAAAACTAGTGCCAAAAGAAATGAAGGTAATAAAAGTTTTTTGAATCTTAGAATCCCAAACGTACAAATTTTTTACTCAAATAATATTATTAAAATAAAATGTGCTGTTTTACAAACCATTTGTTTGACTACCTTTTTCTCAATTAAAATTAAAAAAAATCAACTGCTACCGTCAGTGCCTATATTTATTTCAAGAAACGAAAATCAATAACTTCAAATTAAATTAAGGCTTATGTTGGGCTCATTAGAACTACATACATAATTTTTGCCTCGATATTATCTTTTTAAAATTAAATTAGAAAAATACAAAAATCAAAAAATTCACCTAACAAAAGCATATCCTTTATCTTTGAAAACACGTATTTCTTGTATTGTACCAAATGGTGAAAACGTTTTCTGTAAAACATCTTCTGTTAATGAACCAGTTAAAGCACCATTTACACCACCACAATAAACTGTACAATTTGAAGGACTGCTCTGATTATAAACCTCATCAAATGTTAATGGTTTCACATTTTCTGTAATTGAATTTAGAAATAAGAAAAATAAAAAACAAAAATAATATAAAATACGATAAATAGTAAAGAATATCAAATTTTTTATTCTCTTTTCAAATTAATAATTAATATTAATAAAATAATTACACATGTATATATATATATATATATACATGTATGCGTTTATATATATACACATTATTATATATACATAGATGAAATTAAATTAATTGTATTAGAAAATGAAATTCTAGAATTAAATAGAAGATTTAAAAAAAAAAAACAAAAGAAAATTTTTAAAATAAAATTAAATATTTATAAAAAAAATTTTAATTTAATTTTGGAAATATTTATAATATTAATAAAAATAAAATGTACAATAATTTTTAAATTTTTCGAATAAACAAATACATAATTATTTTTATAATAATTTATTATTATTACACTAAATTAAAAAGAAATACAAAAAATTTATAGTTGGGTTATTCACAATTTTGTTTAAATTTTTCTTTGTTTTGAAAAAATTTTTAAATTGTTTAATATATTAAAAATTTATTTTTAATAAAATGGAGCGGAATATAATAATTTTGATATATAATAATAAAGAAATAACTATAAATTGTTATATTACTAATTTTAAACAATCGAAAGTGAACTAATAATAATTATTTATAAAAAAAATTTTTAATTTGCAATAAATAAAATTACTAAATATATATTTAATATAAATTTATACATAATGACAGTATTGGAATGAAAATGTAATAAAAATTCATATGATTAATTGAAAAAATTTTTAATTTTCAATAAGTTATATTTAATTATATTAAATGGAATTTTATAAATTAAGTGAATATAGAATAATAAAAATATATATATATATATATGAGAATTCGGGAATAATTATGAATTATAATATTATGAGTAGCGTTATGAACTTATTGATTTATGCAAAAAAAAAAAAAAACAATTGGTAGTCACAAACTTATATATAATGGTATTTTTAAATTGAAAATTAATTTTGTAATATAGATACATATATGATATTGATTGATTTTATACAAAATTTAATATAAATTATTATGTAAGATGATGATGAAAAAAAAAGAAAAATTAATTTGTTAAATCAATAATATTATTTAATAAATTAAAAATTTAATAAACTCTATCAATTAAATGCATAATAAAATAAATATAATAAAATTTAAATGAGATTTAATGAAAAATCATTTTATTTTGAATAATGAAAATTTAATGCTTATTTTATTAACTTTATTAAAAAAAAAAAAGAAATTTAATTTCAGAATTTTTTAAATTATAATTTCATAATATAGCAAAACATTCGAATATTTATGGACAATATTCTCGTGTAAAACATTTTTATAGAGGATAGTACTAAATTTTCAACCAATACTTATATAAAGAAATCTTTCTAATAAAGAAATATTAAACAAGTAAAAACGTTTTCTGAATTATACCCTGCTTGACAATCTAAATATATAAAACTTGCTTTTCAAATATTTAGAATTAGATTTCATGATTGTATGACAGTAAGTCGAACATGTTAAAGCATTCCACAAGCATTTTATGCATATGTGCTACCTATAATTGAGTAAAATTAGCTTTTGTAGTTGTATGACAGCTATCCGAACCAGGACAACCATGCCACTAAAATTTTTGAGCATTATGTAGAATGTAAAGCTTTTAAAATATTAAAAAAAATCTCTTTGAGTTGTATGACAGCTACCCGAACCTGTTGACCGAATTGATCCAATTTCAATAGGGGGTCCGTCCTTGGTAGAAAATTAACAACTTTTAAAATTTTGCTGTCAATCGACGTTATTCGTTTTTGAGTTATCGTACGATCGGATGGACGCACGGACATATCTAAATCAACACAGAATTTTTACGCTGAGGAAAAATTATATAAATGTCCATAGCACAGATGATTCCTGTGTTAATTGGTTACAAAGTCTATACCAAAGTTATTATACCCTTCATTTTTATACCCTAGTAGAAAAACTAATTGCAATGAAAAGTATGTTGGCAGCAAAACTTAAATTTGGAAAGCATTTAAATGCCTCCCACTGTAAATATTATCGTCGTCTTATATCTGATTAAAATATGCCACATCTGGTTATAAAATGCCTTTAAAATGAAATTGCCTTAGTGATTTTATTTGACTGCATTTTATTCCGTCTCATTATACTACCTAATACATTTAATTAAGATTTGGCATAACATGTAAAACATACTGTTATACTGCAACCATTATTTTAATAAGTATAACAATATAGTATAATAAATATATATTTTAATTTAAAATCATTATTTTTGGGAAATATAAAGAAATTATTTTTCAAATATTCCCTGTTGTATTTCAAAAAACTTAGATATTTTTATACAACATTATATAAGTATAATATTTATAAAATTTAATTAAAATATTTTTTAGAAATTTTTAATATTTTAAAGTATGGAAAATGAAAAATTATGTAATAGAAAATTATTTACAGTGTTGATAAATTATTTGAATAATTAATAAAGTATTTAATTGAATTAGATTCTTAAAATATTCAGGAACATTTTAAACAAAATGTATTTATAATTTTAAGTATATATAAGTACTACAATTCTATACTACAATATATTAATTATTTAAGAATATATTTTTTTGTTAATTAATATTCAAAAGTATTTTGAACATTTATTATATTGTTTGAAATAAATTTGTGTAAAATAATTTTTGGAAAAAGAGAAAAAAAAATATATTGATAGTCCAATTGCATAGTTTTATATGTAGATTATTTTCATGATAAAAATATTAATATAAATTATTTGTAATAAAAATATATTATATATAACAGTGTATAACAGTCTTTCTTATATAACAGTGTATAACATACAGCGCTTCATTTGTTTTAGATTTATTTAAAATGAAATTTTATTTATATATGTAGATAAATGTGAAGATTTCGTGCTAAATTTACATTTGTGCTATGTTACTTCACTCAAATGCAAGTGAGTTCAAATAAAATAATTATATTTGTCTAAGCCGTAAAATTTAATAAAGAAAAATATTTAAGATTTATAATTAGTTACAAAAAAAATCTGTACTTGTCATAATATTAGAGCAAGATATTTCGAAATCAGTTGTCGTATAATATAGAAAATCAATGTCAATGCATTGTTATTGGCTCAACTCCATCAATTTTCTGTTTTATTGTTAACTCTGTTAAAGTTAATAGTAATTTCTTAATTTTATTTCAAACTCATTTTCCTTTGACTATATTAAAATCTGTTAAACTCGTAGACTATGGGAGACCTACTTATGGGATTCGTATCCATTACATTTTTCGTAAGCCGAAATCTGAATATTTTGAACCGTAATTAATTTTTCTTGTTCTAATTTAATTATAACATTTTAAACTGCATCAATTATTAGAGTAAATGAAAAAACTTATTTAGAAAATATTATGCAGCAAAATATTTTAAAATTGTTAAAAAAAACTGTCATTATTTCTTCGATTCGTTGACCCCCTAGTCACGAAATGAAGAAAACCTTTACTTTTAGTTCAAATGGATCCTCCATTCCTTGTTTAGCACGTAAAAAAATTTCGGCCTCTAATCCCTTGCGCTTCTGCCTCTTAAATTTTTATAATAAATTCTTCTTTAACGCTCAATGTAAGTACAATTTGAATGTAAAATAATTTATTAAAATTGGAAATTGAAATTTTCTATTTGTTTATATACATATGTGGTCAATTCATGAATTTGATGTTTCCACAAATGAAATTTATGGCTAATTAAATATTAAACTTAAATTTTACTAAATTTGATTTTTTTAATACTCACAGAAAAACAAAATTTAATTTAATAATATTATAAAAATTTCAAATTAAAAATTTTAATACTCGTATGTTGTAAGCATGCTCTAATAAAATATTTAAATAAAATATTCTAAATTATTACATGATTATTTTATGTAAAATGAATAAATTAATTTTCAAATACTAAAGAATATGAAATAGGAAAAATGTAGGCTAAATAAATGTGTTTGATAAAACTAGAAATCAACGAAAAATTTTGCATTATTTTTAAATTAATATTTAAAAAATTTATTGAAAATTAATATTTTAAGATTAAAATGCTAATATAAAAATTATTTTTCTTAATTTGTAGTATTATCAATAGTTAATATACGTTTTCATATTAAATTTTCAATACTAACTTTTATAGAATTTCTAAATGATTATTTTAAGTATAATTTTTAAAAGTAAGTAATAAATTTACAAGGATTTTAAGGATAACTACGTAATTCTAGAAAAAATATAAAAAAAAAAATAAATTTAATATTTCTGTTACAAGAAAATGTGTAAGTATATCGTAAAAATTGTTTTATAAAAATTAAAAAAAAAAATGGAAAAAAAATTGAAAAAAAAAACTAAGTAATAAAAGAGAAATGAAAAACTTAAGAAAAAAAAAAATAAAAAAATCACCTTTCACTTACATCGCCGCCCCATTCTTATAATTTTTTTTTTTTATTTTTTATTATTTCAATTTTTTATTATAAGGATTTTTTTTTTGATTTTTGCAAAAAAATAGGAATATTTCAAGCATGGTATCGTCATAAAAAAAAAAAAAAAAAATAAAAATAAAAAATGAAAATATTTTTTTTATTGTTTTTTTTTTTTTAATTTTACTTAATATTTTTATGATTCACAATACAACTAAATTTTGTTTTTTATATTTTTTTTTTGTTTTTTTACTATTTTAATAAATTTTTTTAATATAATTCTATAATATAATAGTTTTATAATACTTACGATCAGCTTTTGTAACAGGTGGCTTTCTTGTTGCCCAATTTGTTCGAATTGATCTTGAGCCAAGCCATTGTCCATTCATTGCAGTAATGGCACTTTCAGCTTCCTATTTTTGTTTTTGTTTTTTTTTTTTTTGTTTTTAAACATAATAGTTAAATTTATTAAAATAATATTAATGATGAAATATAAAAAAAAATAAAATATAAGTACTTACGGATTTTTTAACAAATGAAACAAAGCCATATCCTTTTGATTTTAATGTTTGAGGATCTCTAACAACACGACAGTCTCTATAAAATTATAATTTTTATAAAATTTAAAAATAACATGTAGTTGAAAAATTACGATAAATTTTATATGAATAATAATAATGTTTGTATGTACATGTAAAAAAATTTGATTTATTATAAAATTATAGTTAAAAGAATGAACTTAAAATAAAATATCAAAATTATATAAGCGTTTTTGCGTAAATTTCAAATTTCTATAGAAAATTTGCCTTAAAAATTAATTTCCCAATTGCAAGTTTTACCTGTTTTGATGATTAGAGCTCTAAAAGAAAGAATAGAATCTCCAAATAAAAAATTTTATATTTGGCAGCTTCACTAGAAAAGATTTTTATTCACTCACAAGTTATTCTATTACGAACTTTATCAATTTTTGCTGCTAAATTTCTTGAACAATCTTTTAACAATTTTAAAAACTAGCTTGGAAGTAATAAGTGCTTAATACAAAGTTAATTAAATGTGAAGTATTTTTTTTAAATATAAAGCTGGGGTGAGTGGAAACATTACTAGAATTTACTAGAAAACTAATTTAAATTAGAATTTAAGAATTTAATTAAAGAAATTAGAATTAAAGTTTCGTTTTAATTAGAAAAAAAAGCTTGTTAAAATAAAGTAGTTCATAAAAGAAGAATTTACAATTTCTTAAATATATTTGAAATAAAACAAAATTTCTACTAATTCTTCCAATAATTTGTTCAGCAATATACGCCTCTTATCGAATCTGATTTTCTTCTAAGAATTCTTATTTCAGAATATAAAAGTATTTGATGCTTTTATAGTTTCAAAACTTACAAGAAATGTGCTTAAAAATTTGTAGCTTTAATTTTATAATTTTTGGGCATAGACAATTCATATTTGGAGTTCAATTTAAATTACATATTATTAATTTTACACATCATATTTAATATTTATCTTAACCTGTGAGAATTAATTTTATTTGCAACATGTTCATTTATACCAATACAATGAGTTTCATTGATTTTCCAACTAATTAGAGTTCTCTTTCAATATTATTTTTTTTTAATTTACAGTCACTTTAAAAAATCTTACTTATATTTCTGGAAATTATTATGCATTTTTCTATTCATTAAATTTTCAATATTAACGAATTATTTAACTTCATCTTAAATTCACAGGAGCATACTAATACAAAATATAAACACATACCTACTTGTTACATTGCATACACAAATGTTATATTTTTATTTTTTATACTACTTTTCTTCTCCCTCTTTAATTTTCATTTCATTCTTTCAATCTTAAAATTAATTGCCTCACATTTAAGTACCTTTTTAAGTGCTCAGATAATGAATATAAATTTTATGAAATAAAACGCTATATACATATATGAATTTATAATTATATAATTTATGTATACTATATATTCTCGCAAATTACTCACATTTGGGCATACCAAAGAAAGGAAAGTAGCAAACAGCACAAAAAAAAAAAGAATGAAGCATTTAATTCCAAATAAAAACCAAAGTTGAATGTTCATTCCTTTTACACACCCCATTTATCTTTACATAATTCAACAAAATATTATATAGAAACCAAATTTATTATGGAACCATCACAACCATATACGCTAACCATTATCACACCGCTACCACCGTTACCATTACCATCACTTTAATTGAAAACTTTTGACACGCAACATTTAACAAAAACATAAGAGTAAAACACACACCAAAAAAAAAAGCAATACAAAATAAATTAAAAAAAAAATAAGCAAAAATATTTCAAATCCATTCTAGAATTCCATAATCAAAAAAAAAAAAAAACAATAATATTTATAAGGAAAATAAAAAAAAGGGTATCCTGATGAAATTTTGTTATTATTGCTGTTGTTGCTACTTGATTGATATCAATCAATTAGCTAACAAATTAATTAAAAACAACAGCAACAGTAACATTAATAACAACAAATCAAATGAATTACAAAATGAAATCAAATAAACAAAAAAAAAAACTTATGTTTATTGAAGAGAATTCAAAATAGCTATTCTCTTTCGTATAAATATATATTATACGAGTAGTGTCTGTAAATAATATTTTGAATACTTACGAAACTTCTCCAAATGGTGAAAATGCTTCTCTTAGTTGCTGTGTTTCAATTTCAGAGCTCAAATCACCAACGAAAATGTGAAAATGTTCTAAAAACAGAAGAAAATATTGAAAAATAAATATAGACGATTAACACTGATTAATATAATTAATTTAATTTCGATATTTAATGCTTATAAACACAATACACATACACGCTTGTATATTATTATAGTATACATGTTATATTATAACAGATGCACATTCATTCATATGAAAACTCTTACTAAAATAATGTTAATTAATATTGTTTTTTTTTCTGCTTGTTTTGATATTCATTGTTACCATAAATCGATTATGAAAAAATATTACGGGTATATGGGTATGCTGTAAGAGTATCATTTGGTTATGCTTTTTGAAATATGTATTTTGAAATTAATACTTTTAATTATATTCATATAAAACTTATATACTGTTATATCGACCTACTTATTATTTGGAACAATTTATTATTTTGCTGCTGGTTTAATGTGAAAAATTTAATTTTTTCCGAATTAAATCATTCCATGGAGACCATTCATTAAATTTTTCATAATAATTTTGTAGATCCATCATTGTAGGAAAAATAAATAATCTAAATACTTATTATGATTTCATATATCTGCTCAAAGCTGTCTTATTTTTTACCTCGTGATATTAAATATTTTAAAATATAAAATGATCAATTTCATTCAAGACTTCATTAAAACGAAACCATATGATTGGAAAACTTTTCAGGGAAATGGGATCCCACAAAATAAATCTTCAGTATAAATCACATTTACATCTTTCGAAATTTGTTAACGAGAAGGTTACTATGTTAGGTAATATTACACTTATGCAAACCATTTAAAATGGCTGCTGCGTCTCGTTTATAGAATTCAAAGATTCTTGTCTTTACAACGAAGGAAAGGAATGTCAAGGTTTTACTAATATCAGATCAAACCTAGAACATCAAATGTGTTCAAATCTAGACCATTTATACAAGAATGCACCTGAACATGTTGTTGTAAGGCAGGTATAAAAGGAAATGCATTAGCTGTACATATTTTTTTAAAATTTGTCCATTTTCATGTTACAGATATTTTCTGATCTCAACTTTTACAATTAAAATGCCATACAAGTTGTATGTTGTTTCTTAAAAAATCTTACAATGTATAACAAAACAAACATTGTTAAATATTGTAAATTAATATTAATAATGAGTTAATTCGTACCAAACAAAATGACTTAGTATAATAATTCATTGCGGGAGTGGATACACTTTGGGTACAATGCCAGCCAGTGGGCTTAACTGTGACGCCGACAGGGAAAGCAACGTTTTCGTTTTGGAAGTGTCGTATTAGAATAAGTTTACTCATCTCTCACAACTTTTGGAAAACGTTAACATTTCGAAGTTAGGGCACTGTTTTACATTATCATATGGGGGAAGCGTAGTACCTTTTATTACTTGAAAGAGCGTCGTTCCTCCCTTCAAAAATGCATCCGCGCGCTGGTTTACCTTATCATTACTCAATGCATACCACATTTAACTGAAAGATTCCGCACAGTGACACTCCAGTACCAAAAATATTATCAATTCTTTCTAATAATTTGATTTACTGTGTTTTTCTTTATAAAATTTATTAAAAATTTTCAACTGTTTATTGGTTTTGGTGTAAATTAAGAGACCCCAGTAATATCTTTTCAATTAAATGAATAGCAGCATTAAATTTAGAATATTTTTATACTTCTCTTCAGAAAAAAAATTATGTTCCCATCTAATAATTTCTAAAATAATTCCACTGCATAAATAACTCAATAAAATTTTATACAAGTATCAAAATGCATTCACAATAAATCAACGGTATTTCCCCTTTTTTTTTAAATTATTCCACAAAATTTTATTATCATTAATTTATTTAAGTATTTCTTTTATTTACAATCATTTTTTGCAATTATAACCCATCACTATCCAAAAATTTTCCGGAAAAATACGTAAAATCAGTAGAAATTCAATAACAAATGAAAAATCAAAATATTCGATAATACATAGTGTATCATATATGTAATATATATATGTACAACTATAGGAATATAAAAATAAAAATAAAATTTCAATTTTCATTCCTTTTTTTTCGCATTAACTGTCATAACAAACATACTATAAATTCACCTGAAAATCATAAAAATTATATTAATTTACTCATAATAATATAATATAAATACACACGTGAGTTTCTCAACCTTTATTAATATTTTTTCACCTATCGTCGCAGTTCAAAATAATCGAATTAAAATTGAATCAATAAATAATAATGTATTACATTTATTCTATACATAGTGATATACAAACAATATACACACACATATAATGTTTTTTTTTTTCAATATACATAATATACAATAAAATGTCACATACATACAATATCATGCCAATATTTTTGATTCATAATAAAAGATTTTTACGTATATTTTATTGTTATACACACGTTTATTACGTATATACACCCCGTTCCATAATATACATTATGTATGTAGTTTTAAGTATTGTAAGTATATTTTGCATTATTATTTTTTATATACGAGTATTATATATATACATCTTATAATTAGTAGGAGTTGTTCAACACTCCAATTGTCAAAATATTGAACTATTTGTCAAGTTATAGAACAACATTATACATACATAATAATATACTATACAAGTATAATATTATAATATAGTACATATAGCTAAATGAATATTCAAGGATATAATTAAATAAAATTTTATTCATAAATGTTGAAACACCTACTATATAACCACGAAATAAAAAATAGGGTGAAAATATGAATTTTATTTGCCTGTATTCCATTTTAGGAATATTAAGTATGTATAGTAGAATGTTTGAAAATTTTCAAATAATTATTTTTATTCTAATAATATTAACAAATACTAACTAACAAATTTATATCAATTTTAGCTTTTGACTTCAAAAATGTTATTTTTTGTGCCTTTCAACAAAATCAATACTTTCGCATACATTTAGTGATTTTGTTTTAGTTGATACAAAAATTTTAAGCCACCTACCGAAAAATGTGTGAATAACTACACTTTTCAATTACTGCTTCTTTTGTACTGATGTAAATGAATGTGTTATATTCTTATAAAGTAAACAGTTACCACCGTAAATTACAATAATGGCATAATAATATATTACTCGGCATATTTATATACAAGCAGTTATTAAAACCAGTACAAATTGAATACTAAACGAAAAGCCAAAATAATAGCAGATGAGAAAAGGAAATTTTGTTTGAAATACTTTAAATTTAATAAAATAGTGCAGGATTGCGGGAAGCTAAAAGTGAAATATACAAAATTTAAAACTAATATATTGTCAATTAATATTGCTGTTCACGCGTTCGAAAATATTTTTGCAACTGATGCATAAGCTTCCATAATAGCTATTTCAAAAGAAAAGATGAATGCATGCGCAGTTGTTATGTACGAAAGTTTTGATTTAAGAGTCCCTTAACCTAAAACAAAATCCACACAATAAATATAAATTACAAAACACATTTTTCAAAACAATTAATGCCCATGACATTTAAAAAAATGGAGCACTGGAATTGGCACTCTTGATATATATTGTAATTTAATAATAAAATAACAGCAATATATTGACATAAAAAATAACAAAAAATAATAATAACAATGTAATAAAATTAATTCTTCTGTTATAAGGATATATAAGGTTAGTGAACAAAAAAAAAAAAGAAAAAATACAAAACTATTCCATCATAACATCATCAGGCAGTTCTAATAATAATTTTTTTTTTTGTTATTCATAATAATGATTGATGTTCATTGATGTTGATAGCAACATATATTTTTCTATTCTTGTGGGTATGTATAACTATATAATCTTATGTGTTTCGATTTTAACATCTATATTAAAATAGTTAAAAAGTATGTTTCAAAATATCTTATGCATATGATTATATATGCCTTGATATAGCAAGTGTATGTACGTATTAGTACTTGTTACTACAATAATTGTGTATGAAGAAGTGTGTAACGCATGGTGTATGTAGTTCAATCCCAAATTGTGTTGACATGCCATGGTGCCGTTCGAAGTTTCTCCTATTTCATTTTACATAAATATATATGTATACGAGTAGAAATATTTGGTTACATATTTGCAGATGTACGTTATACATATGTAGATAATGTACACACATATATTAAAATATAAAAGTAATATATTACGTTTATAGATATGATAGAGTATACATGTATAGAACATGTGAAAATTATTACTTTGATGTCAAAACTTATGTATGTATGTAATTGAATATAATAATTTTTGGAACTCTTTATATTTATACACATTGTTTATATATATATATATATTATATATATATGTGTTCATAATATCTCCATATAATAATGAATTTTTATTACATTCAAATATTGACAATATTATTATAATTATTATTATTATTTGCTATGATTATTGTCGTTATGATTTTGAATAGACAAGGAATAAAAATATAAAAAGAAAGAGGAATGAAAATCAATTCGCATGTATATACATTATACGTATGTATGTAGGTACAAAAACATATTATGTATATACATATATTATACAATTTTTGACACTCACTCCATTCTTGATGTGGTGCCAAAATACGTATACATTGCGTCATAAGATACACAACGAAATTTTCAATTAATATTTACGTATACTTACATTTTGTACATACAATATTATTGTGATTTTTATAGAAAGATAGAAAAATCTTCAATGATAATAACTATGTTCTTAATCTTTCATACATTGAGTAAGAAATTTTGATATTATATTCATTGTGCTGTATTACAATTTGAATTCTTTTAATATTTTAAGAATAAAAAGAAAATGATTAACAATATAAATTTAGAAATTATAATTAAATTGCTAACTGAACAATTACAGTTATTACAATAACATAAATGCATATAAGCGCCACATAATTTGTGAAAAAGTAAATACAGCATGAGTAAATAATGTTGTACTTGAATACAATATTAATTTGCTTACATTAGTTTCACTCCATTAAATTA